ACTCCGCGTCCGATCTCTCCCTCAGAGGCGCCGGTAGCCACGGCTGGGAAGGCTGCTCATCGGATGATGCATTCGCGAACACCGTTCGCGAGATGTGCACGCCGCAGACGGCGACGTAAGGCCACTCTGCCCTGGACGAGTCGCTCGGCCATTTTCTATTGCCAAATCTGGGCGTCGAAGCTGTTGTGGCCCTCGACGTGGACGCGCGCGTGTCTGCCTGGGCAGCGGATGTCGGAGAACTGCTCGAGGTTCCCGCAGCGTTGGAGGCCAGCCCAGTGGTCTTTTTCAAGATGCCTTCGCGGCGGTCCCGAAGCCCATGCTGATTGGTCGAAAATGATCTTGTCCACGCTCGGTGCTGTCAGCACCTCTGGCCAGGGCGGCTCGGCGTGCAGCCGCGATGGTTCGGGCTGCTCGTTGACGAAGTAGCCGCCCAACTCGTTCTGCAACTGTGCTGGAAGCCTCGAGGCAGATGGGGCGCTCCCCACCCGCCGTGCTGGAAGGCCTCGAGGCAGATGGGGCACTCCCTATCGTCGCCACTGAATGTCGTCGTTACCGAGGGAGGCGGAGCAATCGGCGCAACGGCCGGCACCGAAGGGGGATGAACATGTGTCTTTGTCCAACTCTGTGAGGCCTGACGTCGTTGCTCATCTTGCTGCCGCACGAGCTCAAGCGCAAGCTGTGTGCTGTGGAGCTCGTCGAGGTGCCGTCGTTGTGTGTGTGTGTGTGTGTCGTCGAGGGTGGTGTGTACATTGTGCTCGATTCGGCCCGTGACGGACGTGCAGGTGTCGCGGCCAGCGAACCACATGGCCACTCTCCCTGACCGTTGGATCACGTCGACGGGGCTGTTCTATTTAAACAGAGCCAAGCCCCAGGGAGATTCCGGCACTGGCGGTGACGGTGCTGCCAGCGCGGACCGCGGTGGCCACATGGAGCTCGATCCATTTGGCAGATGGCATGCTGATGCCGAGAGCTGAGACTGAAGGCAAGTAATCCCAGCTCGGCAGCTGCACGTCGGCAGACTGGGTTGGGGGCGCGGCGATGCGTGCGTTGAGGTCGCCTGTCCAGTCGCGCCCCTGGGTTTGTCCCAGTGGGAATGCACCCCCCACTTGCGTCCACCACCGTGGTGTTGTTGGTGGCAGTGGTGCCGCTGAGGCAGCTGGAGCTGCTTGTGCTGTTGGCTGTTGTTGCTCCTGAGGCTGGTGCGGCTGGTGGTGCTCCTCCCGCTGCTGCCTGACGGCTCGGTGACGCAGTCACCCGAACCGTCGGTGCTGCAGAGGCTGGCGCGCGGCCCCCGCGAGGTCGGCAAACTCCTGTCGTAGTCGTCGTAGCTCGGCTTCGCGTGGCGATGACGAGGGCGATGGCGCTGCCCCTACCCGAGTTGACCAGTGGTGGTGGCCAATGGCTTGCCACGCGCCGTCCGACGAAGCGCTCGGAGTAACCGCTGGCGCTGACGGCCGCGGCGCGGGTGCTGCTGGAGCTGGCGGTCCGCCATGCCTGGCGTCAGCTCTCTGCAGAGGATCGCGCCGTTCCCGGCGCCCCTGGCCACAGGCCGAGGAGTCCCGGAGATGTCTTCGGCCATCCAGACCGTAGAAGCTCCTGGCACGGGCCGCTGCTCGGAAGGTCCCGGCGATCCTTGCTGTCCAGGAAGGGCAAGTGGTGGGGCTGACGATGCTGATGGTGGTGCTGGGGCGTAGGTGTTGAGGCAGAGAGTGCGCCCTTGTTGACGGCGCGGGGGGCAGTCGCGCACGCGGTACTCCTGGGAATCGCACTCGTGGCGTTCGAGACGCACCTCGTCAGGGCCCACGGGGTTGCCTCGGCGGCCCGAACCCATGTCCGTGGTCCTGAACCTCGCTTTTCCCTGACCCCTGCGAAGGTCTCCAGAGGTCGTTCTCGGACAGGGTGGCGATGAAGGCGCGGTAGCTTTTGTCCGTGCCCTTGCCCTTCCGTTTGATGGCTCTCCGGACGTGGCGCGTGGGCTTGTGGTTGTTGCAGCTGCGCCAGCGTGCTTTGGCGCTTTCGTAAGCCTAGGAGAGATGCGCACCACGTTGTTCCACGGGAGTTTCGCGTAGCTCGGCGTCGTCGGCAGCTATCGCCTTTCCGAATTGGCTGGCGGTGTCGGTGTCGGTGCTGGAGTCGATCTCTGCTGCTGGGTATGCCCCCTGTGCCAGTGCTGCCGCGCTGGAGGCACAGCCTCCAGGCGCGGCCTTGGCTGGTACAAGGGTTCTAGGTGCCAACCCCAGTGCAGCAGAACCCACACCGTCCCAGCTCTGCTCCTGCGTGGGCGTACCCGTAAGGAACGTGTGCTGTTGGGCAGTGCGGATCGCCGAGGCAAGGTGGCCTGGCGATCCCTCTATCATGTGCCCAAAACGTCTCAGCTGGCCCGTCATGTGGGGGAGCTGCTGAGCGTTCGTGGGGCAGGCCATGTTGTAGTGCTGTAGGAGCATCGTATGTTGAGTGTTCGACACGCCAACGGTACGCAGCAGGAGGAAGCTGAGCCCCTCGTAGCCGATCATGAGTTGCTCAGTTGGCTGCGCCGGGTTGCGGAGGATGTCGAATTTCATGAGGAGGTTGTCGATGCGCTCCCGTCGCAGCTGGTCGAAGTTCATCAGAGCCGATACTGCCGAGGTGCGCTCTTCCTCGCCCAGCTGGCCCCATCGTTCGGTCAAGCTGTGCATTAGGAGTGTCATCGGTGGCACGGGGTTGCCATTGACGAGTCCTCGCTGGATCAGGACAGCTGGCGACCTTTCGTCCGCGTACTCGCGCGCTGGGCCAGTAAGGCGCGACGAGACGTAGGCTGCCTGGCGAAACTCGTTGAGATCGGAGTTCGCCACTGACCAGATCATCACCTCACGCACCCATATCTGGACGGGCACGCGAGCTTGGTGCTCGGGCCCACATGTGCGGAGGTGACGCACGTTGCCGCTGCGGCCACCTGCGTCCATGCAGGCGATGCAGCTTGCGATAGCACATGTCAACTCTGATTGCCTTCCATCCGGAGTGTAGCTCCCTCACCGGGTGGTATAGGTGCTGGAGTCCAGGGATCCTCAAGCGGCGTTGCATGACTCGTCGAGGATACTTGCTCCGGATGTGCTCCCCCTCGTCAGCGTTTTGTCGGGTGTTGCTAGAAGTGCCCTTGGCCCAAGGTGCCTCCAGCTTTTCGCTCCGTTCTGGAGCCCCTGGGGCCCTTGGGGCCTCGTGAGGGGTGCTCTGGAGGCCGCCTGGGCCACTCTGAGAATCCTGGGGATACCTTGGGCCAGGGGTACTTCTAGCAACACCCGATATTGGGACGTCTGCTTTTGCCGTGCCATTGTGGTGCTCGTGGTGCTCGGAGCATTCCGCGACACAGTTACGGGAATGCACTTCGTACGTCGTGTGGTCACTGTATTGAGCACCGCCAATTACATGATCCTTTAGAGGAGTGCGCATCGGGATCCCGTCCTGCCCGGCTGGCGGGTCTGAGTGGGTGAAGCGAAGGGTCGGGTCCCGAGGTGTAGTGCCTCGGAGTGATGGCGTCCCAGTCGTCATGCCCTCCACTGCCTCTCCCCGCTCGGCGCTGGCGACGCACTCGCCGGATGCCTCTTCTTTGCTTGCTTCTCCGAGGGCTCTCGAGACACAGTCCCAAGAAGCTCGGGACCTTGCTCTGACACCGCAGATATGAACGTTGTGTCGAATTGTCGAACACCTGAGGCTACCCCCACGGGCGGGGGCACTGACAGTTCGGGGTCTGCGAGCTGCCTGGACACAGTCCGAGCATGCACGGGATGGGCCGCAGATCGGTCTTTGTAGATCTTGGTGATGCTGTCCTTGATGAGGTACTGGTTGTGCACGTTCTCGGTCACCGGTCCTGGCGGATGGGCGGATGCTCCGACGGACCCTCGAGTAACGTCTCTTGCCACAGTGAGCGGGAAGAGGTGCACGCAGGCGGAGGTGTTGAAGGTGGTGTGCACGCTCCTTGTCGCGGGTCCTGGCGGATGGGCTGGCGCAGCCCCGACGGACCCTGGAATGACGTCTCTTGCCAGAGCGAATGGGGGTGAAGAGCACGAAGGCGTAGATGTTGAAGGCGGTTACCGAAGTCGACTGCGGCGGAGGGTGGAAACCATTGCGGTTGACGCGATGCGAAACATGACGGCCTTGCTGGGAGCAGGGGCGAACATGCTCCGCTACCAACTAGCGGGAAGATGCCTCAAGGCTCGTCTAAGGCGGACACGGAAGCTTGGCTGGCTTCCGTGCCCCAGAGCCATAATGGCAGCGGCAAGGGGATACCATTACAACAGGCAAATGTGATGAGGGACAGGTGAGCTACCGTTTGAGTCCCTCCGCGTCGTCCTCCCTCTGCTGCTTGGACTCCCTCTGCCTTCCCACCCTCCTCCCCTCCTTCGCGGGGCCCAGGGGGCGGATGTTTTCCCACGCCGGGGAGTCGCCCGGCCCCTCGGGGACCCCCCGGGGGCCGTCCGGAATAACATAGTCCGAAACATAGTCCCCTCCCCCCTGCCCCCTCCTTCTCCCTCCCCGCTCCTCGTTCCTCTGATCCCCCCCTTTCTCCCTCCCTGGCGGCTCTGGGCTGCCCCGCGGACGCGCTGCAGTGGATCGTGATCGTCCCATTCCGTTCCTTGCCCGCCCTGCCACCCCCCCGCATCGTCCTTCCTCTGCTGCTCGAGGCCCCTGTCTGCCCCCCCCCCATCCCCTTCCCTCCCCTCCCCTCCCTCCCGCCCCTCCTTCCTCCCTCTGCCCCTCCCCACACCCCCGCCCCCTCCCCACTCCCCACTCCCCCCCCCTCTCCCCCCTCCCTCCCTCCCCCGCCACCCCTCCCCCCCTCCCTTTCCTCCCCTCCTCCTCTTGCGTCGTCGCCGTCGTCGTCCTCATCTTCGTTATCGTCGTATTCGTCGTCGTCGTCGTCGTCGTCGTCGTCGTCGTCGTCGTCGTCGTGGTCTTGCTCCAGCGACGACGGTGGCGGCGGCGGAGCAGCATCCCCTCCGTGCAAGCGCGGAGCGGCCCCAGAG